TTTATATCAGGAGTTGTTACAATACACATGCATTACAAAATAAACTATACAATTCCTTTTAACATAGAATCATCATTGAATTCTTGTTATATATAAATTAATTCTAAATAATAAATATAAATTCATTGGAGAAGTGGAACCTTAAAATCGACAGTAAACAGACTTTGAATTCCCTCCTCTCTCTCTCTCTCTCTCTCCTTTTTTTTTTTTTTTTTTGGTCAGGCATTAACCATTTTAAGCTTTGTCAAGTATACTAAGGTCAGAAGCAGTGGCTGTTTTATGGCAGCACCTAATAGGTGGCCACTGTTAGCTCCTATGGATGAGATAGTGTGTACTTTACTGTCTGTACCAGGAATAGTCTCAAAAATCCTACTAAGGCCTAATGAAAAAGGGAATAAATCCTTATCCTTACGTTGCACCATCGTACTTGTTTGTACATTGGATTTCTGAAACTGCCATTTATTGTGCTGTTTTATAGCATGCTACCTGGTGCCAAACTTTGTTGTTCATATCACATTAAATATTCTTGCTGCATTCATCATGAACTTCAATTAGACAAAATACTCTTAAAATTGTTCCTTATTTCAAGTTTTCAAACATGTGCCACTCCACAGACAATCTCTATTCCTTCTGCAGGCTAGTCCAAATTTAAGCATTTTATTTTTGAGATGTGCTAAAAAAAGCTTTGTTGTTTTCAAACCATCACTGGTGTACCAACACAAGAAGCAGTAGTAATATAATTTATTAATATTTTCCCCACTGGTCGATACTTATTAAATTTCATGTAAAGTCTAGGTTTTTTTTTTTTTTTTTTTTTAAAGTTTTTGATAAATGATTGTCATCTGGCTGTACGGTGAGTTTTGCAGATAATAGATGCCTTTTGCTGGAACAATATTTAAGTACTGTGAGATTAAGTTCTAAGTTTGGTGGTGGTTTCCGACTGTGTTAATGGTAGTAATGCTGGACAGGAATGCTATATTAGTGGAAAATGCTTTCAAAACAATGAAATATGTCTTCTCTTTTGTATTTTACAAGGGGCATTGCGAAAAAACTTTGTACTTTCTTAGCAAATTTAAACAGCCAAATTTTCCCATAATATTTGTTTTATATTGTTGCGTGCTTATGGGGTCATAATGGATTGAATGCACACAGAACCGATGATGCTTAATAAAATCTATTTTTCCCGAAAGAAACAAAGGTTTTTCAAAGGTGCTTATGAGAGCAAATACAAAACTGAAAATTTTTTGAAAAGTTAACTGAGTGAGGCAGTGGTGAGAAATTGTGACGTCAAAAAACAGATTATAACTATAATCTTATATTGCAGTCACGACGAAAGGTGACAAAAGACCTATCTAAATTCTTCAAAGACCAATAGGTTATCTGCTTGACTGGAGAGTCCAGAACTGATCCTTTCTCCAGTTTTATATAAAACTGGAGCCGACTTCTTCGTCGGCTGTTGAGAAATTTTCAGTACCTTCGATTTCCCAAAATTGCTTAAATCCATACAGGGACTGGACCAAAATGTCTTGAAATAGTTGCCAAATTTGGCGATATTTTGCCAAAGCCATCACGAGCTTGTCACTACATTTACCTGAATATTAAATGAACCTCTCCGTGTAATCACTTTACTGGTGGAGCTTCGTTTTCTTGAAGCATTTCATGTTACTTATACAAGAGATATTACAGTTGCCAGCAACTGTCATGAAAAAATTGCAAAATACTACATTATGGCAAATCACCAGATGTGGGTGGTTCATAAGGAACTCTGCAATCCACGAGGAATTTAAAATTCTGCACATAAAAAAATTTATGGTAAAAATTGCCAAAAGATTTTTTGAAAATATCCACAATACGGAAAATGATAGTATCCCAGAATTAGATTATGATTTTAACTTAATCAACTATACCAAAAGACCTGGATCGCTAGTTAGAGCACTAACATAATTGCCTTGTTAATACTTGTTATGGCTTCTTATTCGTTAAGTACTCAACTATAGTAATATTAATCGACTAAAAACTGCCCTTTTGTTTGCATTTTTTAATTGCCTGTTAATTAAGTTTAAAACAATTTTATTCATTTATTTTCCTACCAAAATTAACTCTGCTATAGAACATTGACCCTGCCCCACCTTTGGCTCAATTTATCACTAAATTTATGTATGGCTCTGAACCCCTGCCCCCTATTATGCCTGCAAATAGTCGCTCTGCACTGTGCCTGTGCGCCTTCAATCTCTTTCCAGATGCCGATCACCTGATGGGACTCCATCTCCTACTCTTAGCTGTGGCTTCACCAGCTACGAACTCGGACACTCAGCGACTTCTACGTGGCTCACGAGGTAACTGATTCTTCAATCGACTTGAATTATCACCACACATGCTCTCAAGCAGATAGAACTTTGAACTATGGAAATATGAACTGTTGACTGACTTCTCGTCACATATGCCACAATTGTAAATTCTGCTTACCTCTTCAATAAGTCAACTGGTATAATTGCTTTCACTTCATTCTAATCGTAAAATGCTATGCTTATAAAACGATATGCCACAAAAGACTATTTCACGTGCTATACACATGAGCCTGGAAATGATGTATGACTTCGTCACCTCCTAAAAAACTACAGTTTGTGTATAATTTCTCTAAAATTATTTATATGTGTAAGAAATTCTTAAAATTGCTGCCCCCTGCCCAAGGACTGCACATCCCAAGCAATACAATCCCTTTTAAGGAAGCCACACTTACAACTAAGGAAAATTAATGCATTACTAAAATATTAATTTCAGTAATTAATGTATAAAAAATCAATAAATAAAGGTGTGAATTTCCAAATTTATGTACACAGAGGATCATGGTCTATTTACATTATACACATTATGTGGTTTACGTACTATGGCAATAGTAAGGTGTTAGGCTGCCCAAATGAACAACTTTAGGCTTAGAATTTTGTTACTTCCAGATTCGAATTACGACGTCCATCAGCCTATTTAGAGCTGAGTGAGGACCGTTTCAGGGTGACTAGGAGGAAGTATTTCCGTCGAATGGGATTCCATAACCACACCTTAGCACCTTCGTTGAATTAACCCATTCCCTGCCATGATCCCCATATGGGGATCGCCTACATTTGTATACGTTGTGACGTCATGCTGCACCTGGGTGGTGCCTTACGGGTGGGCATGCTTTCCTGAAGATTGCAACTAAGAGTAGAAATCTTAAGCTGCAGTGAAACAAGTTAAGTTTCATGTGTCACCAGGGCTACATTTGTTTACAGTACAGCTAATTTTCCTTAGCTTAACAACCAGTGTTAATGACTGAAATCATTAACACTGGTTTCATTGCAAACTCACAATTAATAATGTTTACACCACCTTTACACCCATAACTCATAAATGATCAATGTCAGAAATTTAGCTTTTCCAGCCAGTAAACAAATACGTGGACTCAGTTGAGCTCACGAGTTTATTTTTCTTTCTCTCTCGTTACTTTTCACGAGAAAAATAATACGGTTATTTTCAAAGCACAAAAAAGTTACTTAGGAACAATTATTTTTTGTTGTACTGAATTTCCCTTGATTCTTGGTAAGTAATTAATGTATTTATATATTATTTAACCTCATACTGTAATTTGGATGGGTATAATGAACCTAGATATATCGATCCCCATTTGGGGATCATGGCTGATACTGACTAAAATTGTAAAAAAAAAAAAAAAAAAATGTTTTTCTTTTTTTTTTTCCAGGAAATGTTGCGTAAAAGATATCTTTCTTTAAGAGAAATTGTAAATTCTGATGATTTTTTTGCATCTGGCGATGACGACGATAATAGCCCCATAGATATTGTTGAAATTCCACCAGAGTGGGTTGATGAGATTTCAGATAATGACATGGATGATGAAGAACCATTTGATGTTTCCGGGTGTGTTGAAATTCACCGTGTGGCAGGATTTGAGGAAAATAGTTTAGTGAATGCAACTGAATCTTCAGCAAATGAAGTAACAAAAGTACCGGCTTACCACCTGCTAAAAAGAGAAACGTATTGACTTCCAATTGGAAAAAGAAGTAACCTAAGTACTCGAAACTATATGAAAATTCTGACGTTATAGAGACAAGGCGAAATGATGTCATTAGAAAACTCAGAGAAAGCTCCCTGGTAGAGTGTTTTGAAATACCTTCTTGATAATGAAACTGTTCACCTATATTGTCAAGCAGTCTGTAATATGTGGCAGACAGAAAAACAATCATCAATTTCAGCTTTCTAATAACGGTGCCTAAAAAATTTATTGTAATACTTCTTTTCACTGGCTATCATTCACCTTCCACAAGAACAATTATATTAGTATGAAGATGAAGACATGAACATTCTGTATGTTAGAGCATGTATGGAGTCGGAATAGGTATTTGGCAAAGTTAAACGGTACCTACATATCAGTGACAACTCCGATTTTAGAAAGGATTCCACTAGGTGAACGTGATAACCTCTTCAAGATTCGCCCATTGACTGACAAGCTGAATGACAAATTTCAACAATTTGGGGTGTTTTCTGAAAGTTTGAGCATTGACGAACAAATGGATTTGTTACTATGGACATCACTACCTCAAACAATTTATACCGTGGTAAGTCAGTGCAGATTTTGGGTTCAAACAATGGGACTATCTGTGGTTCACAAACTGGATATTTGTTATCAGACTCAAGCGTATGAAGGCAAATCAAAGAAATTAGGAGATGATGAAAGCATTAGTGGGCTTGGAACATATCTGTTGTCCTTCAGATGGTATCTATTCTTCAGACACCAAATGCTCATAAAGTTTACTTTCGACAATTTTTTCACAGGATTTTCTCTGATGAAACATTTGCAGGACATTGACGTTAGAGCAACAGGAACTGTTCCATTCAACAGAATGAACAAATGCCCTATTGCAACAGACAAAGAGATAAAGGGAAAAAAGAACGCGGGGCATATGACTACAGATTTGATTCCCGTAATGAAATTTTAGCTGTCACGTGGAATGACAACATTTGTGTCTAATCATGAAACTATCGATCCAATATCAGAGGTGAAGCGATGGAGTAGAACAGAGAAGAAAGATATTCAAGTACCACAACCCAAACTGATATCAGAATATAACAAATACGTGGGTGGAGTAGACAAGATGGATTGGAATGTTCAAAAATACAGAATCAGAATAAGGAGGAAAAAATGGCATTTTGCTTTGCTTACTAATGCCATCGACGTAACACTGATTAACGACCACGCACTGTATTGTATTTCAAATGATAAAATTTCATTGCTAGATTTTAGGAGGATGGTTGCTAGAGGATATCTTGCTTTATCTTTAGAACTCTCAGATGCAAAAAAGGGTGGAAGGAATTCTTTCACTAAAGCATCAATTAATCGTGTTCCTACTGCTATCAGAACATCTGGTAATCATTATATTGAACGGACCGAAAATGATAAAGAAAATGTGCAGTGTTCAAACAAATGCAAGAAAACAATGTGGAAAATGTAATGTTAGATTACACGTAGACTGTTTTGAACGCTGGCATTAAAAGTAGATAGTATCAGCCATGATCCCAATTTGGGGATCGGACTTAAATTTAAAATTTCTGAAAAAAAAAATGACGCATTTATGAGAAAAACATGTTTTTCTTATTATTTAGATGTAAACTAACCAAAAAAAAAAAAAAAAAAAATTGATGAAATAAAAATTTGGCAGTTAATGGATTAATGTCCTGTAACTCGTATCGGGTCTTCATCTTCGTCGCCAAGTTAACGCGTTCTCGTGCATCATTTCAAATCGTGAATAGTAATCCTGAATGTATTCCTCAGGCTTAAAGGTGCATCCGGAAGGCGACCAAATAGCTGATTACAGGACAGACATGTCACGACCGAAGAGCATCTGTGGTGGGGAAAGCCGGTAGTCAGGTGGACAGCACTGCGATAGGCGAGTAAGAAGAGGGGTAACTTCTGGTTCCAGTTTTGCTGTTTTCTGGAAACCACCAGCGAGAAGTTGTTAAGGATGGTTCGATCAAAAACCTCTTTGTCATGCTATCTGTTTGCGCATGTATATGTGTCGTTTGAGTTTTATCTATGCCGGGTAGTTTTCCGAGTTATTTAATTACAGCTGAGATAAAATTCCTTCCTTGATCGAAATGTAACTAAAGAGGCACTCCAAACCTGCAAATCGAATGCTGTATTACCTCTGCTACCTGAAGAGGGATCGGATACGCTTCAGGCTATTTTGTGAAGTAATCAATGACAACGCGGATGTATTTGTTGATATTAACAGATCATGGCAGAAGTCCCAGAATATCGAAGGCGATGCGTTCAAAAGGCGCTGTTTCATTGCAACGTTGCAGCTTCTCTCGGTTGCCTTTCTTCGGTTCGTACAGGCAGGGCAATGGTGTTTCTGTTGGGCGATTCTTTCCGATGAAGAATAGTGTGATGTCATATTTCTGGAGTCTGTATCCATCTGGCTATTTGGCCATCGGAATTCTTGAAATTTAAAAGCTATGTCAATGATGCATAATCTGTGCGGCCCAGTAATTTTTTGCTGTAGAGGTAATGGAAATGTTCTACGGCTTTAAATATGGCGAACATCTCCTTTTTTAGTGACATATTAATTCCTTTTTAGTTTAAATAGTCACTTGCTCCCGAATGCTACGACACATTCTTGACAGTTTATTTCTTGGAACAAAACAGCACCGGCATTCTCATTGCAAGCATCCGAGTCAAAAATAAATGGTTTGTCTAACTGACGATAAGGCAGGATTGTCGCTGATGTTACAGTTTCTTTCAGTTTATTCTTCACATTCTTTTTCCAAATAACTTTTTTTAATAACTCCAAACTTCCAAATAACTTTGCTTTCTTTCTGTTAGTTTGTGAAAGGGTCTTGCGATTGAAGAAAAGTCCTTCATAAATCTCTTATACTAGGTGCAAAGCCCAGGAAACTTCTCAGCTGATGAACGTTTTCCGGACGTCTCCAATCTTTAATTGCCGACACCATTTCTGAATCTGTACATATACCACACATTTTGTAGAGATGATATGTACAAGGTAAGTCACTTCCTGTCTGAATAATTTACATTTTTCAGGACTTAAAATTTATATTGGCTCCCTTCAGTTTTTAAAACACCTTCTTAATACTTTTCAAATGCTGTTCCAATCTTTTCCCAACGATAGTGATGTCATTCCAGACAGGCTTCGTTGGAGAAACCTCTCAGAACAGTCTCCATGAGGCGTTTGAATATTGCCGGAGCATTACATGATCCAAGTATCATCACCTTAAACTGCAAAAGTCCTTGTCTGATAGTTCCTCGTTCATCAGAGTGTATCTCTAACTGCCATTACCCTCTTTAAATCAAGCGTCGAAAGCCACTTGCTTCCAGAGAAAGTGTCCAGAATGTCCTTTATTCTAGGAAGAGGGTAGCTGATTTTTCTTATTAATGTCGTTCAGCCGGCGGTAGTGAACGCAAAATCTGTTTGAAATCTATTTGAACCATCTTTCGTTCTGACTAGGACGATGAGAGATCTCCACAGGTTTGCTGAATGCTCAATAACGTCACTTTCTTGCATGCTCTTTAGACTTTTCCTACTTTGTTTAGTAACTGGTAGAAGTTTTGGGTATTTTTTAACTGATGAATGACTTTCCCCGGTCGTATTAATTCTATGCTGTGGTAAACTGGTTCGACCAACATAAGAAGGCTTGCGGGAGAAAACACATTGAAATTCTTGAATGACGTTCTGCAGCACTCCTCTCTTCTTCACTTAGTTGTGGATTCGGCAATAACTCTAATCTTAGGCTGTCCGAAGACACAGACACTGGAGGATTACTGGTTCGTTTAATGCAGGTCACTGGAGTACATGCTACAATCACTTCTCATTTCCTAATGACTCTAGCCTTATCACTTATGTTGGGAACTCTCACTTAGAGCGATTGTGCTCGATAGGTCGATGAGTGCCGAGGCTATTAGTAGTACTCCTTTCGGGCTCTTACAGTTCTTAGGATATTTCATTATGCAATACCGAAAGTTTCTTTTTAGAGCTATGGACCCAGGTAATAAAAATTCTGTTCTTGCTGTTACTCTGTTATCGTCTTCAGCTATGATTTGGTGATAGATTCAACTCCTTCTGCTTTACTTCCAAACAGTGTTACCTCCTTGGAGGCAGAATGAAGTTCATTATTTTTTAAAGTCCAAGGAAAAAATTGTATCCCCTTAGAAAGTCAAATTGAAGTATGCAAGGGTCTGTAACAGCAGCCACATATGCTGCGTGATGGTTGACGGCACTTCCGAACGGGATGCTAACGTTTAACTTTTCATCGATGACGATTTTAACATCGGACACAGTCTGGAGGGTAACTCCGTGCGGCGTCCAGTTGAGTTTACCTTCAACTGTTGATCCAAATCTTTTTGAATGATGGTAACATTGTCTCCTGGAATGATAGTCATATTATAAGGAACTCCAATATGACCATCGATACAGGAGCCAATGCTTATATGTCTCATGACTAAGAGTCTATTACTACCGCCGCTCATTTCAGAAATCTGAAGCGCTTTAATGTTTCCACGGTTTGTCCCGGATTATCTTGTATGCAGGCTTCTTATCGAGTCGTTATGTAAAATAGCTATTTTAAATTTATCCTCGAGTACATGCCGTCCAATGCATTTGTTACAGTGAAAAGGTACGCCAAGAACGGCAAACCCGGAGTCTCTCTTCCACTTCCAAATGTTAGGGGACAAGGGTCCACGCAACCTTGACGACAATGCGTAATGATCCTCATTAGCGCAGAGAGAAATCTTGATGCTTTGGATCTAAGGAAACAAGAAAGGTATTATCAGTTAGAAAATGAATGTATATAGAAAGGGAATCAAAATTTTTTGTTTTAAGAGCACTTTAAGGAATTAAAAAAGGGAGTTTATAAAATCAGCCTTATTCCTCACAAAATCATTTATAATGCAGTTTAATGGGAACAGGAGATTAAATAATTCTGTATGCAAAATTCATCTACAAATTTATATCACGAATAATAAAAACGTGTTTCCCCTTTCATAAATTTATATGTCTTTTATTTTTGACAGTGCGATTCGATTATTTTATTTCATTATCTAAGAGCGTGTGCTTTTTATCCGTGTTATAAAATTGTACATGAATTTTATGAAAGGCTTACTTAATATGTTGATAAAGGTACATGAATTTTGTGAAAAGGCTATACGATAAATTATTTTTTCACCTTTTAGTTTATTTAGGATTTTATCAGTTTTGAACAAAAACTTAATTTATAAAAACTTATTTTTTTAATTTTAGCCTTTAGTCTTAATGAAACGTTATCAGTCAAAGCAGTTGATCGAAAAATCATTTTTCAACAATGACTTTTACTTCCAATAATTCTCTTACCCCAAACAGTCGAAAAATATTTCCGATTTTCAAAAATTCGCCTCAAAATCAGAAATTACGCTAAAACTTTAATATAAAATTTTATTTAAAAGAATATTTTACGCTCTATGCAATGGCACAAATATTAAAATTTTGAGATTTTAGTTTGTTCTTTAAATGGAAATATGCGCAAAAAATCGCTTCAACATTAAATTTAAAAACTGATTGCGAATTTTATAAAACTTGCTTTGCAACATTGTATTATCATCCTCAAACTGTGTGTATACAAAATTTGAAACTCTATAGCTTATCGGGAAGTAGTTTAAAAATCGATGATGATCTTCTGACCATAGCGAGAAACACCACGAGTAATCGCAAATTCTTAAACTCGCATATATAAAGTTTTTGCATGAAAAAGCCTTTCATTCAAATTCTTTTATTAAAATATAAAACTCTACTAATCTCAGTGGCGCAACAGCCCTAGTGGGCCACGGCCTGCAGTGCCCTTTTTCTGCTTTCTTGACCTTTGGGCCCCGATGTGCATCAGCATATGCCCTGGGCAAGTGGTCAGCTTTTCGAAGGATCCCCGGTGTTTAGTCCCTAAGCGAACTTGGTGTAAAGAACGTCTGTGTAAAGAAGGAAAGGCTCCATAGACAGCTGTATGTAAGTACTTACATACAGCTTTGCCATAGACGTAATATAAACCACTTTGTCTTCTACGCCGCTAGAAAAAAAGAGGGAAAATTCGCCAAGGGATTTGGCGACGGAACCTGTTGGCGAGAATTTCCCCCTCTGTGATGTACCGGACCTGACTCCTCCGCGACGTGTACAGGAAATTAAGGAACACGGGTTAAGATGAATAAGAAAATTAGGTGAATTTTCACTTTCACTGGCTGTTGAACTTGCATTATCCATATCGCAGTTTGATGTCTGATTTTATATCCGTCAGAAAATATATATATATATATATATATGATATATAAATAAATAAAAATAAAAAAATGGAGTCACACAGCTTTAAACTCTTGATAAACGTGACCGTTGAACCTGTTCGAACTTCGACAACAGCCTCGAGTTTTGGAGCTTTTTGGGACAGATATTTCACGCATGTGCAGCTGTTTCCATTTTCGTTCGAAGGGAGCCACTCCTGCTGCTGTGAAGTTTTCCTTCTTAACAATACATATTCTTAGCTTGGTACTCATTTTATCGATCTACTTAAGGCCGAGTTACCCTTGCCGCACCCGCGGATCGAACCCTGGACCTGTGGTGCAGCTGCGCGACGCGCTAGCCTCTTCGCCACCGGGCTTTCTTTAAAATATAGTCTGTGTATTTATTTGAATTAAACAAATCATCGATGGATATTTACCTAACAAGAGAAGACCTTTCTTGGAAGATTAAAGAGAATCTCATTGTATACACGTTATATATGGCAACAACTTTGAAAACACCCATGCGTTCAGGCTATGCCAAGCGTGTTAAGCCGTGTCAAACTACCAGTGTTTTGGCACATATGGACTTACAATGCAGTTACTTGCATTTTTGACTGACAAAGAAAGTAATTAATTTCTATTGCTTTTTTCTTACTCTTGCATGTTCTCGTGAGGGGACGAGTGGTTAATAGTGGTAGTAGTAGTTAGTGACTGAGTTCTAGAAGTTTGAGCAGAGCTGGTGTCCACACAAACGTTTGGTTGCTTAAGCGTTTTTCGTGGCTTCGCAAGGTGTATCATGAATACGAATATGGCAGAATTTTCCTTAGAAAGTTCTTCCTTCCCTAGGTAGATAAGTTTGTGTGCTTTGCCATGTCCAAATAAAACTTCACATCATGATTTTATGACTTTTATACGCATGCAGTAAATGTTAAAAAACGTAAATACGCCTTTTTTTTCCCGAAAGGAGGGCTTAAAAACTTAAAAAAATATTAAATTCCATAATCTTTTCCTCTATTATTAATTTCAGCAGCTGTAAGACTTTTAAGAGGCTTATTTAATAATTTTTGGTTTTCTAAAAAGTTTCGGCTAATAATAGCAATTTACTTCTAAGATATAACAAAATACGAAAGCTGCTGTAAAAATAATTGACGACCTCAAAATTAACAATTCTAGATTTGGTGCTCTCCCTCTAAATTTATCCGTTCTCCCAAATTCGAAATCATTCTATGTTATGTAACAACCTCAAATTAACCAATCATAGCTTGTCTCTACAATTACATCAGACTTAGTATAAATACCGCTCGCAAAATAAACTACGGCATTCTTCTTCCATTCCTTTTCCTTTAAGTGCTGCTCTGCCATCCTTGCGCCACTTTGCTTTTCAACTGTTTAAATCGTTTTTTTAAAAAGCCAATGTACATATAAATTTATCATATTTCATTATGACTGAATCATAGCAATGTATCGGATTTCATTATGATTAGATAAATGTTTACTGAGATGACTTTATATGCGTGGAAGTAAAGACTGGGAATTCGTCTAATTCATTTTTGGGTGGGCGTCATCTATTCGTCTTCCCAGCCTGCCACTATTCCATCACGACTACGCTTCAAAAGCATCACATACATGTATGTATGTGTAAATATGTGATAATGAGCATATCCTCAAGATACACGGACATATATGCCGATATGTGTGAGCGTATGTACGGACATGTAGTGCAAGTCCAGAAATTTCACATATTTCGAAATTTTTGATAAATGAAATTTACTGGAATATTTTCCTCAAAAAGCAATTTTTTGGTGCATTTCTTGTGGTTTTGATATAAATTAGCCCGACTGAAAAAAAAATGTAAAGCTCATAAGATCCACTAGAACACGAGTGGTTAAGAACCTAGTAATTCGAAATGGTTCCGAATACTGGTTGAACGAGCTGGGTGCATAAACATTTTTGTGGTTTTCCCTGATGTGTAACGTAGCTAGTTTACCTTAGAAAGTATTCCATAAAGGCATTTTTTTCCTTGGAGAAGCTCCACAAAGGCACTCCAATAACTGGAGTAAATTAAAGCTTGCTTTTACTATCTTACAATTTTTAAGCATTGGCGATCATCTAAGTTGTTAATTGGTTTCCACTTTGCTGTTGTTCAGCATTCTAACACGAAATCTTCAAATATCCGGTCACCAGTTTGGGAGGTCGCCATAAGTATTCAAAATGATGACTCCATTGGCACTCAAATATTTATTTATTTACCGTTAAAGTATCTAAGTACAGCGAGGAAGCATACTATGATAATACAAATTTCAACTATCAAATCTAAATGTATAAAAGGAAGAGTCTATCACTATTTGTGTGGGTGTTTTTCGTTCGTGGTGCAGTTTTTAAATTTAATGTTTCTCTTGGATACTGGACTTTTGTAGAGAGAAGGCAACGGGAAGTTGGTTAATTTTTTAGGATAATTAATATTTGTATTAAGGGATATTGCTTATTCATTGTAATTTTTTTATATGTAAGACATTTTTATTGAATTTTTTTTAATGAAGTTGTTCAGTAGAGTAAAATTCCCTGCAGTTTTTAAATTTAATGTTTGGCATTTTTCTGGTACATTTAAAAGCCAGACGAAGGCTGGCCGCGTAGTAGCTAGTCTCTTATAATTGTTGTTCCAAGCTTATCGTCACTATGGCAACGCGTTACTATACAATGAATTTAATTGTTGCCACAACTAAAATAAAAAGATATTTCGAAGTCTCTTAATAATCGTAAAAATCTAATGTCGGGAAATAAGACATAGTAAACAGTTCTTAATCTTCTGTGGGAAAAGGTATTTTTTAAGTGTTAAAAGAATCTCTTTTTATACTGATGGGGACAAAAATTGCAGAATTTGTTTTCCTTTCAGTACCTTGATATACCTTGGCCAATCGGTATCGAAATCAATAGAATGTAACATTAAATTTACAGTAATCTGAGGTTCTACGCATAAAAAGCTAGACTCTAATCTTTGTGTAGAATGTTTCTTCATTCATTTGCTTTTAAATATTCATAGTTACTAGTGTTTCATGAATATAATGGAAAGAACTTTGTAGATTTTTACTTAGTGTTAGAAAAATTTAGATACTACTGTCACAAGTTTTTATTTTCAAATCTAAATATCATTTGCCATGTAGATTGCAATCGTATATTAACTTTAGCACGTTATGAAACTCAAACATTTTTACGAGACTTTTGTTTTTCGTCGCAACTGTATTTAAGCATAATATTTTTATTTCTTTAATACATTGGTATACATATATAAGAATGAAGAACGGCAGAAAACAAATGCATAAAAACATTTAGGTTATTTCATTCAAAATTTTGATAATGAGATATTTATAACACGTCATTAAAATTGCATGTATAATTAAGAGTTGTTAATAATATAACATTTTATCATGCAACAAAAAAAATGATGGCTGTCAATTAAATAATTATAATTTTACAGAAGAATACTAACTTTTTAATTAAAATAAAAATTTACGGGTTAAAAATGAGATAATCATCAAAATGCTCGTAAATACACTCATGTCCATAAATTAAGGATAATTCGGAGTCACGCGGAAATCGAACTCTAAAATAAATATATCACCTGTAAAATCACTACACACATCTTCAAGAATCATATGCAAATTTCAGTAACAAGAAAAGTAACAAGATGACACCGATGGTAATGACGAGAGTGTAAGAGAGTGATATATAAGGAATACAGGCAAAGAAGTAAAATTGTTCGCAGGCGCTTTATAAGCATTTCAGTGCAATAACCGAATAGTTATGACATAAAGGACGCATTTATATGATTTTCTACGTGGTAGAATTATTGGCCGTCTGGAATGTGGGCGTACCCAACTGAAAGTATCAGACGAACTTGGATGTGCCCAGAGTGTCATCTCCAGGCTTTGGCAACGATTCCAAGATGATGGTAATGTAAGTAGATGTTACAGCACAGGTCGCCCCAGAGTTACAACGCCAAATGAGGACCGGTATTTGGCAATTACTGCCAAAAGAAACAATCGGAGCACAGCCTCAGACCTGTCTCG